CGAGCACCCAGAATACCAGCTCCAACCTTGTTGGACAGGACCTAATGAGGTACTATTGACTGCCCATTCTTCAGTGAAATTACAGGGAATTAAGCCACGGATTCATCACACTCAAATGAGAAGAATTCACAGGCTCCCTATACCCAATCAGCAAGGAGAACATTGAAAAGAACCCTGCTTGGACTAGCAAGCCTCTGATGGACCTGAAACTACTATTTAGGAGAACTGGTCTGAAGAAATCAATAAGTACAACAAGCTACTTGGTTACAACAAATCTCCCCTAAGGCCCTAGATAAAATATAGTGCTAACAAAAGTACAAAAACTTTGGTGATACAGAATGTTAAGTTTCAACCTTGAACTAAATGTCCCATTCCTCTAACCCCAATCTTCCTTCCATTTCAGCAGGAAGTATATAATGTGGCCATCATCCCAATTCCCTCAAGAATGAGGAATGATCAAAAGACAGTGGGGATTAAAACTAGTAAACAAAAACTTAATGGTACAACTCTCAGCTGCCGTTTTTAACCAGATCTTTTTCATTTGCCTTTAAATTTCCCTTACTCTACTTCTTCAGAAGGGCGGACTTGAGGTTTGCCTTCTTGTCTTCTCATTTGGTTGCCTTTAGAATAAACCCTTCCCTTGCTGCATACTCCATGTTTCAGTGATGGTCTTTGCTACTGCATCGGGTAGATGGGCTTGAGTTAGGTTACAGCCATCCCAAAGTATGCACTGTTGATAAAGTACGACAAATATTAAATAACTTTATCTAGAATACAGATTATAAACAATGTTAATTTTCTAGGAAAAAAGACAAAATGGGATCAGAAAAGACTTTCTAGTAGAGATACACTTGAATTGGTTGAGAGATGAATGAGAGGTACCTAGCCTATGTAGGAAAAAGGTATCTAGGGTAGAATGCACAATGGCACACAGGGTTAGAAAATATCTAGTTCTGTGTCAGAAACTTCTAATTGTCTCCTAATACTTATTCACTCCTTTGTCTATGAAATATAAATACCCACTGTTAACTAAGCATATGGCCATCTAAAATAAAAACAACGTATTGTAGTACCTTATCAATTACTTATTGACATTGACTAAGTTTGGCCAATGGTATATCTGAAGTGAGATATGCAACTTTTTAAAAGATGAATTATCTAATATTATTGGAGTATAGTTGATATACAATGTTACATTAGTTTCCAGCATAGAAGGTAATTATTTAATTTCTCTACATGTTTTCTTATGCTCACCGCAAGTATAGCTGTCACCTTACAACGCTATTACAGTATCATTGACTATATTTCCTATGCTGTACCTTTTATTCTCATGACTTGTTCCATAACTGGAAGCCTGTGTGTCCCATTCCCCTTCACCAATTTTGCCCCCACCCCCTTTCCTTCTGGCAACCCTTAGTTTGTTCTCTGTATTTTAGGTTTGATTCTGCCTTTTGTTTATTAATTTGTGGAATCTAAAAAAAAAAAAAAAGATTCTTAAAGGGAGGGGGTGTACTCCTTCCACTTTTCCTTTGTCCTACTGTTTGAACTGTGGTTGTGTAGCTAGGGTTACCTTGGGCCTTCAGGACAAGGGTGTTTGCAGAGAATTCTGCAATGGGATTTTAGCATTTATGTACAATTCCCAAGCAAGAAGTACTGCCAACTTTTCATACTGCCTGCAAGGATATTTGTAAATCAAACAGCAAGGAAGATAGAGTTGGTGTCTTTCTTTGGGGGCACAGAACAGATTTGTTCTTTGACCAGAATAATAAAGATAACGTCTCCCTTCAGAGCAAAACTTGGGTGGTTTTGTTGGCAGTTTTCTTTAAAGAACTAGCATTTCCTCAACTTAATGTTCCTCAGATGTGAGAAAGGCCAAGGTCCACTGCATGTGCAATATTTACTTGAGTCTCTATCCCCCTATTGGGCCTTGGGGTGGAGGGTGGACAACAAGAACCAATGTGAACTTCAAGCTCATGGTGCTTAGTTTGCTGTGAACTGTAGCAATTGTTCTCTGACCTAGGAGTCTTATGTCTTTTTCCAGCATCTACAAAACTATGATGCACTAATTTCTTAGATTTCAAGTAGTAAAAAAAATTTAGATTCCTCACAATTCTTGACAAAATGTCATACTCTACAGATGATATGCTTTAAAGTGGAAAACAGCCTGGGTCTCATGCCAGCCCCTTTAAACACATTTGAACCCATATCCTAACTAGTATAGGATTTGTTTCCTTAAACAGCTATATTTCATTTTCTAGAATATGAAACATGTGACACTCATTTAGATGGACACCTGACAAGTAGGTCTCAAAACACCGAGACCGGGTCACTAAACTTTAGGCAAAATTTATCTGTGTGCTGAATAAACACACAAGTTAGGGAAAGTAGTAGGGAAGACTCCAATTCTTGCCCTTCTCAGCAAAATTCAGAAGAGCTTGCTTAAATCAGGGATCTTTCTGATCTCGTATGATTGATTCACAGCACACTGAACTATGAACCTGATGATTCCTAAGAATGTTTTTTCTCTGTCTTTTCCTCATTGTCTCAGAGTGAAAGCCCAGCTCTGCAGCATGGCATCAAGGCCTACATTCTCAGCCTCCTTTTGTCATCTACCAGCTGCATCTCTCCTTTCCCCTCTTCCACAAACCCCCTTCCATCAGTGTGACATACCTGCCACTCTTTATTTATCACCTGCTGTGACCTTTTTGCCCCTTGGCTTTATGCATAATGTTTTCCCTGTATGTAAAGCTTTTCTCCTCTTTCTTCATCTTACAAATTTCCATTCCTCTTTCAACTCCAAGTTAAAATGTCAGTTTCCTTTCTTGCCGTGAAACTGTCAGCTGCCACCTCCTATCTTGTCAGTGCATTTACGTTTAGCATCAGATTCTTCTCTGCTCTTCAGAGTCTCAACGTCTAATTTGTCACTGTAGCGAAGCAAAGCAGGGAATCAACCTAAGTTATGATCAAATAGTTTATGAAGGGAGATCTGAGAAGATAATTGTCCATGAGGTTATATGCATACATTCTAGCATTTATTCTAACTGCTCGAGAGTATATTGTTTCTATCCCTTGGTTATTTTTAGAACTTTAACAATAATTATAGTAATCGTTATTTATTTTTCCATTTTAATTCTTAGTCACTTAGCAAATTTATGTTTTAAAATAAGTGGGTTAGAGAGAATGTTAGCTGATAGCATATATTTGTAAAGTACGTAATTTTCAAAATCTTTCAAGTATTAAAATACATCTAGTAGTTTTAACAGTGGATTCAGAAAGCAGTCCAAAAGGACACTACTAACTTTTACACAAACTAAAATTTTCTCATTTATTTTTCAAAGCTCGTTTTTGAGGAAAAATTCAGTGAATTTACTCTTGTCAAATAATTTTGTGTTAATATTAGTCAATATATTAAAATTACAGCAATTTCATTGTTCCTCTGTAGACTATATAGTACTATATAGGGATATGTACCAAATGAAAGAACCCACTGATAACACAGCCTAGACTTTCATAAGTAATTCATAAAATAATAGCTACCATACATCAAACATTTATGTTACAAAAGGGATTGTCAAATATTATGTCATTTTTATCAAGGCATTATATAAATTTCTTTTTTTGTAGAATCCCTGTTACTGGATTTTATTAATGGAGGGTTCACACAGAAGAAAGAGATGAAATGAGTAGTGGTTTGTAATATACATAATTATATTAAAGAAGTCATTGATGTTGTAACTTGTGAACTTTGCAGGAATATTTAATTTCCAAATAAAAGGCTATACTAATAGGCTCAATATTTAACTTCTAAAATGTAAGCAATATGCTTAATTATCATTAGTTTCTATATCCATCTAGCTATATATTTGTATGTTAGCATTTTAAATAATTTCAGAAAAAGAAAGTATGTGATAGATACTCTATTAGCAATGCTGTGTTCAGATAAATCAACACTGTACTTTATCAGCGTAATATGTATAAATAAAAGAGAAGCTTGAAGTCAAAAATTCCCTTTAAATGATAGGAAAAAAGAGATGATACTTTTCTTACATATAAATTATGTACCAGGGACTGTGCAAGATGCCTTGTGCAAAGATACTTACTCAATAAGTAAAATTTCTGCAAAAAATATTTACATTTTAATAATACCTCATGATTATAGCATACTTCTTTTAAGTTAGATCCTCACAGAAATAAACGAGGCTCAGATTTCATGAAGTGTTTAGGATGATAAAAACTTCTTGGTTTCATTTCTGGGTGCTTCTGCAAGTTAAACTGTCCAATACTTGTCCTTTACAATGTTCCTCTCGGTTAATTTCAACCTACTGAAGACTGAGATCTGGCAGACAACTGTGAGTTAACCAGGCAAAGAGGCATTACAACCATAAAGAGCACACTCGGGGGCGCCTGGGTGGCTCAGATGGTTAAGCGTCTGCCTTCGGCTCAGGTCGTGATCCCGGGGTCCTGGGATCGAGTCCCGCATCAGGCTCCCTGCTCCTTGGGAGCCTGCTTCTCCCTCTGCCTCTCTCTCTGTCTGTCTCTCATGAATAAATAAATAAATAAATCTTTAAAAAAAAAAAAAAAAAGAGCACACTCGGGCGGTCAGAAACATTTTATCATGCCAGGCGTTAAAAGAAACATAAACAGCTTAAAAAAAAAAAAAATGTCTCTAGGATGAAATCAGTTTAAACATCATATTTTAGAGTTACTACATTATATTAGAGCATGCATTTGCAAATCTAAGACCTGCATGATTTTATATACTAAATAATAAGGTCTTCCTATGCATTTACTTCGACTTAATACTATACTTTTCAGTTTCTACTTACCAATATATTAATCATAATGTCTACCGGTAAAGCAAAAATCCACAACATCTAATCTTATTAAAACACATGTGAGACTCATATGGTGATAGAAAATTTATTTTTAAAGGACTTCTTTTCTACGTTCTGTCATTCAGACTGTGGTATTAAATCCTGTTTTTCTGATTGTGTTTTTAGATTATATTCAGTCGGAGGTCGTGATGGAAGTTCCTGTTTGAGTTCAATGGAATATTATGATCCTCATACAAATAAGTGGAACGTGTGTGCGCCAATGTGTAAGCGGAGAGGGGGTGTTGGAGTGGCCACGTGTGATGGTTTTCTCTATGCAGTGGGAGGTCATGATGCTCCTGCTTCAAATCACTGTTCCCGGTTACTAGATTACGTAGAAAGGTAAGATCCAAGGTCACAGTTGTAACGAGAGAAATAATGTACATTATACTGATGCCTAATTCAAGTGATTATAAAAACTGCATAATTTAGGAAGGGTAAATTCTGCTTTTTAAATCTCTGTCTCTTTATCCACCCCCCCATATACACATGCACAACACTTTCATTCTTGTTTTTTTTTTTTTTTTTTAATTTTAATTTCAACATAGTTAACAGGCAGTGTTATATTAGTTTCAGGTATACGATATAGTGATTCAACAACTCCATATATTACTCAGTGCTCATCAAGAAAAGTGTACTCTTGGGGCACCATTGTGGCTCAGTCTGTTAAGCGTTTGCCTTCAGCTCTGGTCATGATCCCGGGGTCCTGGGATCGAGCCCCACAGCGGGCTCCCTGCTCAGTGGGGAGCCTGCTTCTCTCTCTCCCACTCCCTGTGCCACTGCTGCTCCCTCTGTTTGTGCTCTCTTGCCCCCCGCCAAATAAATAATAAATAAAAATCTTTACAAAAAAGTATAGTCTTTTTTCTTCTTTTAGATAAGGGGAGGGGAGAGGGACAGAGGGACAGAGAGAATCTAAGCAGGCTCCACTCCCAGCATGGAGCCTGACACAGGGCTGGATCTTACAACCGTGAGATGATAACTTGAGCCAAAATCAAGAGTGGGCCACTTAACTAACTGAGCCACCCAGGTGCCCCAGGATAAGTATACTCTTAGTCCTCTTCTCTTATTTCACCCGTTTCCCTTGATAACTATCTATTTGTTCTCTATAGTTGAGTTTTTTTTTTTTTTTTCATTTGCCTCTTTTTCCCCCTCTGTTTCTTAAATTCCACATATGAGTGAAGTCATATGGTACTGTTCTCTGGCTTATTTCGCTTAGCATTATATTCTCTAGCTCCATCCATGTTGCTGCAAATGGCAAAATTTCATCCTTTTTATGGCTGAATAATATTCCATTGTGTATATATATACACCATATCGTCTTTATTCATTTGTCTATCAATGGACACTTGGGCTGCTTGCATAATTTGGCTATTGTAAATAATGCTACAATAAACATAGGGATGCATACATCCTTCCGAATTAGTGTTTTTGTATTATTTGGGTAAATACCCACTAGTGTGATTACTGGATCATATGGTAGTTCTGTTTTTTTCCACATCTTCGCCAACACTTATTGTTTCTTGTGTTTGGTTTTAGCCATTCTGACAGGTGTGAAGATGATATCCCATTGTGGCTTTGATTTACATTTCCCCAAGGATGAGTAATGTTGAACATCCTTTCATGTCTGTTGTCCATCTGTAGGTTGTCTTTGGAGAAATGTCTGTTCATGTCATCTGCCCATTTTTTAATTGGATTTTGTGTGTGTGTGCATTGAGTATTTTAAGGTCTTTATATATTTTGGATACTAACCCTTTATCAGATATGTAATTTGCAAACATTTTCTCCCATTCAGTAGGTCTTTTAGTTTTGATGTTTCCTTTGCTGTGCAGAAGCTTTTTATTTTGATGTAGTCCCAATAGTTTATCTTTGCTTTTGTTTCCCTTGCCCTAGGAGATATAACTAGAAAAATGTCGCTAAAATCAATGTCAGAGAAATCACTGCCCATGTTCTCTTCTAGAATTTTTATGGTTCTAGGTCTCACATTTAGATCCTTAATCCATTTTGAGTTTATTTTTGTGTCTGGTGTAAGAAAGTGGTCCAGTTTCATTCTTTTGCATGTAGCTGTCTGGTTTTGTCAACACCGTTTGTAGAAGACACTGTCCTTTTCCCAATGCATATTCTTGCTTCTTTTGTCAAAGATTAACTGACCGTATAATCGTGGGTTTATTTCTGGCCTTACTTTCATTCTTTCTTATATTTTTTCCTTCCTTTCTCCCTCCTCCCCTCTTTCCTATTTCCTTCCCTCTTTCCTTCCTTTTTTCCTTTCTTTCTTCTACTAATATTTAAAGCCCTATAATTTTTTTCACAAGAATTTGAAGTGATATTTTAAGAGATCCTTTAAAAAAGCTTTAAGTAATCTATTTATGAATGTTTGTTAATTTTCTTTTTAAAAATTGGATATTTTATTGTTCTATTCATCCTATCTTGTTCTACTACCCCCTTCAAACTCTCAAAGGCGAATTATGGACTTTGTTTTGTGTCATACCTTTCTTAATGGAAGACAGACTTATTAGAAGTCTATTTTCTATAATCCTGGTCCTCTTTTAATTCTTCCTAAAAATGGCCAAGTGCACAAAGGTCTGGAGTAGAAAGCCACCTTGGCTTCAGGTTTGGTCCAACAACCCAAACACTTCCTGGCATGGTTATAGCTAAATTCTCTTTAAGGGCTGTACCTCACTTAGAACTATTATATTGTGTGCAGTAAGGATCAGAGTTAGTGAGCCTGAAGATGATACTTCTTATTACTTAAGGATATATGCTGATATATGGGGAAGTAGGACTAGGGAATACCGAGGTCAGCTGTTTTATCAACTGGGATAGGATAAGTAATTCTACTGTAATGAATAACTTCAAAATTCTCTGTGACTTAATACCATAATTTTTTTCTTACTAACATTACATGTCCATAACAGATCCATGATATCATTGCATATAAGCTATGCATATAAGAATGGCGTATAAGCTACAATATAAACACTGCTGGTGTCAAATGGGAAATGTATACACTGTTCACTGATTCCTAAAGATTCTGCATGCCAGTAATATAATTCTCTTTTCTTCATACTTTGATAAACCAGTCATATGGCCACAGAAAATTTCATGAGTGTGGGAGAACTTCCACATGGGATAAGAACAAGAGATATTTGGTGGATTGCAGTGATGACCATAAAAATTTTCCTCTTAACATTAAGAAACCACATCCATTATATTCATGCTTGCAAGTGGCATAGTCAGTGGCAGAAAGGTGCTCTATCTTTTATATTGTTCTAAGGATAGGAGATGATTTTTACTGAAAATAAGGCCATTGGCAAAACATAGTTTTTAGTAAACAGACTCTGTTCTCTGCTCAAACTTAAACCACTTCTTGAATAAAACATGTTTAATGTTATTGCTATTATGTGAAATGAACTGTAGATATATGGGTATCTATGCACAGAGGAAAGCATTACGCTCAATACAGTTTCACTTCAACATTCTCTTGTCCAGTGAAATTAGGAATTACAGGTGTTATAGTGTGGACAGTGGTCAGAGTCCAAATAAATAGATGTATGCTTTTATATATACAAACATGAAATCATTTATTTAAAAAATACTGCTTATAGACCAACAGCTCATTCACATTTTCCTCTGCTAAATTCTTGGGAAAAATAGCAAGAGAGATTAACATGATGTGCCTCCTATATATACTTTCCTATATATCTTATATAAACATTACTAATGAAATATTTCATTTATTCTTTTCTAACATTACTGTATAATGTATTACAGTGTTGTTGGTGAACAGAGGCATAAATTATTCAGTCTAAAATTAGACTTAAATAAGTGTAGCTATTTTAAGTTATAGGAGTACAGTGGGTATGAGCAGCTTAAGTAATGCAGAAGCACACAGCATTATCATGATTCTTATCCCAGCTCATATTATGTGTCAGATTAATAGCATTTTTGAGGTTTCTATAACATATATTCTATATTGACAATTTCACATGTAAATCGTCAATAAATCAAAGTACATAATAGCACTCTGTAGAATTATTTTACACATATAACATAAAGACTGTTTTTTAGTATATAACCATAGGAAAACAAACCATTGGGAATAATAAGAAGTAGTGTACAATGCTATGTATTACAGATGGATAGAACAAATTTTGTATGACAATGATTTCTTACGGAAACATAAAGGTATTATATAATAGTGCTGTTAAAGTACAGTTATGTAAGACATCACAAGTTGTAAAGGATCAGGCTGTCTTGAACACAAAGAATACTGGCCCCTCAAATCAGAGCAGGAGCAATGGCAAGGACTAAGCAAGAATAGGAAGTTTAGAATAGTTGTTGGAATAGTGAATAGTAGATTTGCAGCCAAGCCTCACTCTAATAAGAGCATCTTAGTGGACAAAATCAGTGTCCAGAAGGTGCAATCCATTAGACAAAGCACATTTATCTATTTTACTTATTCTACAAATATTGTTTTGCATATATTTTTCACTGTGCTAACTCGAGCTTAAAACTTATTAGAAGAAAGAGACAGATAAATAATTAGAACTTTAAGATCACAAATAAAACAGCAAACCAGGCCATGGATCAGAAAATATGCTCAAAGGCATCAGTACCACTGCTGGCTAATAATAGATCAGGACCACCTTTGCCCTCAAATTTGCATCCCAGTAAAAAACGGCCTGCAGGAGAGGGATATCAAGATAATAGGAGCCTTCTAAATATGCTTTTGTGATATCCACTCTTGTTTCCTCCAACTTACTCTCCATACAGCAGCCAGAGAGATCTTTTCATAATGCAGATTTGACCTGAAAGCACAATGGAGTTTTCCTTTGTAACAATTATCAATATTATGATGAAAAATTATTTAAAATTTTTCAACATAGCTAGGATCCATGTGCTGGTGATGATCTAGATTAGCTTGTTCACTCTTATACTCTTCCACTTGGCACAATTCTTGGCACAAAGTAAATCCTCACCAAGCATTTAATGATATCAGGTAGAAAAACAGGCCTCAAATTTCTCACAAGGGAAGGCATCTGGAAATACACTGTACATAGGGAGTTAAATAGATTAATAGATAGAAAGAAAGAGAGGGATGCATGAAAGGATAGAAGAATGGATGGATGAATGGACTGATGGAAAGACAGATTTGATTTGATTTGATTAACATATAATGTATTATTTGTTTCAGGGGTACAGGTCTGTGATTCAACAGTCTTACACAATTCACAGCGCTCACCATAGCACATATCCTCCCTAATGTCCATCACCAAGTCACCCCATCCCTTCCACTCCCCTCCATTCCAGCAACCCTCAGTTTGTTTCCTGAGATTAAGAGTCAG